TTGCTCCTTGAGTTAAATGCCATCTATCATGTGGTCTCTAGTGTGGGTATTTACAACTGACAAGATGCACTCATTTGAGATGCTTTCTTTCTGTCCACAAAGGATGCATTCTACTCTGTACATTTGTCACAGTTTGTGTTCAGTCAATATTTGCAGAGTTAAACTAAATTGGATGAACAAATTGGCTCTCTGCTCAAAAGCAAACATATGAGATGATATTAAGCATTGAGCGCCCATTACCTTTTAATTTCTATTTCAAGACAAACATACCTATGCCATCCTGAATACAGTTCCTCCTAACATCACAGAGGGAGAGTGTGGGTGGCACACCATCCCATTATTCACTAGGGGCCAGTTATTGTATATACCTCAATCCATAAACATTTATTCACATAAACAGCAACAATGTTGAGAGGAGAGGACAATTGTTTTGCTCTTCTCAAATGGCTTTCTAACCACACTAATAACTCATTGCTTTTCTCAAACTTAATTACCTAGTCTGAGAAGCTGAATAAGGCTTAAGCTTGCACTCATACATCAGGAAGACAAACAATAGGTCTGATCTAATTGATAACCTAGATGCTAATGATGCTGGAAACAGGCATCTCACTGATGAGCACACACATCCTAGCATATTGATTTAAATACAGCACTTAGAGTGGGTCAAAATCTTACTTTAGAAAAGATCTGCTAATGACTCAGGACAGCATTCACATGACCTTATAATATTCAAGAGAAAAGATACCTAACCATCTGTCTGACTGCAGCTTTCCCGCCATCTCCTTCCCATGGTGCACTGCATGAGCCACAGCAGACAAGCCATTGATAATTATGGACTACTCAAATTTAAGCCCAATGTTCCAGATGTCCAATAAAACACAAAAACAAGCAGCTTAAAGTCTAGAGCCAAACCTTAGGCAAACATCTCACTCAGTTTACCTACAGTGTATTTCTCAATGGACACAAAAAGGATTTTCAAGTAACAATGATGTAATTTGAATAACCACTTACTTTTACTGGAAGAATTGCAATGCACATGAAATAAAGATCACAAATCACATGGTAATTTGGTAATATGAGGCTGCTCTGACATGAACTTTGAAAACGCCAATGCTTGGGTACCGCCTCAGAGAGTCCGTGTAGAAACCATAAGGACTAGGCTTAGAGAGCAGCATTGAAAACAAGCAGCCATTTAAGAATCACAGTGGAGAAACCCTCCTGTATCAGATCAGACTTGCTTTTTCACATGACCCTTGAATTTAGATCCTGCTGTCTGGCCGGCCAACCGAAAAGGATGAAGAGGAAGCAGCCATTGGGTTATAATGGACAAAACATTCTCCAAAGCTTTTTTGTAAATAAGCACAGTATGTACATGGAAGAGGGGACATAAATTCCCTAGCATCAAAACAACAAAGATCTACCAGATGGTACTTCATATAAGGGACATTAAATAACAGAAATGAACATGTTCCTACAGCAATCTGGAGAACACAGAGAAATGGCACCAAATGGGTATTTCTTATTTTGATTTAATATTAAACATGACGAAAAACTTCACACACTGCTACTTCTAACCAGTGTGGCCTCCTCAGGAAAAAATAAAAAATAAAAATAAAAAACAACAAAAAAAAAAAAAAAAAAAAAAAAAAAAAAAAAACTGAAAGATGATGTCCCTTACAACCTAGCAATTCCACTCCTCAGTGTAGGCTATATGAGGAAAATTCACTTATGTGTAGCACACGATGTATAAGTCAGGGTCATAGACACCCAGAAGCTGCTTTTGCTCAAAAACATTAATTCGTCTCTTGTTGGACCCATAACGTAACTGAGAGCAGGGTGAACGCCTGGCATCTATGCTTTCATTCTGTATCTAAGCAACTGAGACTCCCCATCAAGTAACAGGAGGCTCCAGGAAAGCTACCACAGGAATGACTTATGACACAGAGAGGCCAAAGCACAGAGCAGGGGCAATCATCACCTGCAAACCAGATAGGCACAATTCCTTGGAGCCAGAATTGAGAAAATGATCAATTAGGCCACACTATGACCAAGACCACTCACTATGCAAACCTCTACCCCCCAGCCTCAAGCCCTTTTAAACCTAAAGCTCATGTCAGCATGCTGAGGATGGGTTTGGGAGTCATGGGGCCCTTTATCAGTGTCCTCTGCCTTTTTTGCTGTTGTATTGAATGGGTGGCTGAGCCCTGGCCACTGGGGCTTCTGGAGCCGGAGCTTATGCCCCAGTACTCAAGTAACAATACTGCTTACATCTATAATTGAAATCACACCAAACACCCGCCAAGGAAAATGTGGTACATGTGCACACACAGCATAATTACTGGTATAGTAGCATATATATCCACACAGTTGCATTTATAAATATAACAAGGATCCTATCAGATATCCGTGGTGATGTATTTATTGTTTATGATCTAACAAATAAAGCTTGCCTGAAGATCAGAGTGCAAAGCTAGACACAGCCATAGAGGCCAGGCAGTGGTGGCACACATCTTTAATCCCAGGCCTCAGGAGACAGAGGCAGATGGACCTCTGTGAGTTCAAAGCCACCCAGGAGTACATTAGAGTGAACCAGTCTAAACAGCACTAGAGAGTATATAAGGAACTCAGTGCAGTCTCAGAGGGCAGTGTAGCAGTCTGGGGCTTGGTGGAGAGCAGTGCAGTCTGGAGATGCAGTCTGAGGTTCAGTGTGCCTCCCCTTCAGTCTGAGCATTGGCGGAGGTGACAACTTTCCAGCGGCTGGCCGCTTTGCTCTCTGATATCCAGCTTGAACCCAATATCTGACTCTGGGTTTTTATTATCTGTGCTATAGGTATCCGTCACAGTGCACCTGTTACTTTTGTAATCAAACAGCTGAGCCTAACACACCTCTGATCTTTACTGGTTAAGCAGTCTGAGGCATCAGACTGGATTCCCATCATTTATTGCACTGTTTCTCATGTCAGGGCTCTGCTCATGGAGCCCCCAATGTGCCGTGTTTAACAAGTTCCTGTGTTCGTGTTCCTCCTGTAACCTGGGACACAGTTGAAGATCTGAATGGGTTTGGGTTTGGTGTTTTGGCCAGAAGTCATCATAGTCTGTGCTTCGATCCTGTACCAGATGTCTGGTTGTCCTTCTTCTGGTGACATGAGCCATTTCTGACTATGACCTAGATCTCTAAGAACCTCAAGGGCTACACTGCAATCCATAGCATCCTTTTTTTTTTTTTTTTTTAGCTAATAAGCCACCGAGTTTTTATAAGAAAAACTTCCCCTCAAGTCAAGAGAGTTACTTCACCTTCCTCCAAAGTAACACACAATTATTTTTTGGTTTCGGAAACATTGTGACTCATTTCAACACCCTCCAAAAGTGATCAATACATTTTGTATTGTCTTGTTATGATCATAAATAACAGGACATAACATCTCCCCTGGAAACCACTAAAACATATGCAAACCTACACTTACAAATAAAACGGAAAAAACAAGTCCCTCCTTAGGCCTCTGGCTTCCTCTTCTTGGCCATTCTTCTCCAACAGCACCTCACTTCAGACTCAGTCCACATCCCATGCTCACTGGAGAGTGGACCTGACGCTTCCAATGTTGCTAGTGAAACTACTTTGCTGGGAACAGAAGTCACTTTTCAGACTTCATCTTGATGGGCCTTACAGCACTGTGGACCATCTCCCTTGCCCCCAGGGACCCTCAAAGAAAAAGTAGGCACAATGGCTCAAGCTTGTAGCCCCCAGCACTTGGGAAATTGGACAGTCAGCATCTTGGGGCTTGTTGGTCAGTTAGCTTAGTTAGCAAACTCAAAGACTATGTCTCAAAGAAACAAGACAGACAGCTCCTGATTCTTGAAGAACATCCAAGTTGACCTCTTGCTTTCATATGCTTAGGCACATAGGTGAATCCTCCCTCCCTCCCTCCGCTCCAGTCTGTAGTATTCTGTTTCAGCAGTAGCGAGCAGATGAAAATACCCCTCCCCCTTCAACAGGCAGCAGGACTCTCCATCCAGATATACATGCCACTGTTGTCCCTGACAACTCAGCTCACCTGTCACTGTACCTATCTCTCGCCAAGTCCTGACTTACTACAGGCTCTCCTGGAGGGCCTCCCTATCTTTCTCTCACTGTGCCTACTAAAGTGATGTCTGAACATGCCACTCCATCTGAAAAGCCCTTCCTCCCTCCTTTGACTAGTGAACCCGCCCTTCATCGAGACCCTCAACAATCAAAAAAGATTGCTTCAACATACGGATTTTAAGGTATTTCAGTATCTGTCCAAGTTCATTAATATTGGTGATAGGATAAATTCTGGTATGATTCAAGGGTCAATTGTCCAAACATGAAACTGGACAGTAACAAACATGCTACATGGAGAGCCTGGTTATTACATGGTTTCATGTTTATTTTACTTAAATACACAAGAGATATAGACCATTCAAGGACTGATAAATTGGGAGATGTGAAATGGATAAACTATAAGTTCCTTTTAATAAAGCTAGGATGTTCTATTCATATTGCTAAGAAAGTATGAAATTAAGTTTATATCTTGAGGTTAGTAAGCCATGGCCAGTAACATGCAATGTTTAAGAGTGGAAATAAATGTGAATTGAACAATCTTGTTTGGTACTTCTACCTCAACAATGGGAATGGGCAGGCTTCAGCTTCCCTAGCTAGAAGGCATACCATAACTATACCATAACTTTTCTCCACTTAAATATTGATTGCAATTTCTTCACAACCTTTTGACTACGACTGAATATAGATATTGATTACTGGCCCCCCCACCAAGATTTTGTTTAAAGGACTAGTTTAAAAGACTTGAAAAAAGAAAAAGAAAAGACATCCTAGGTATCTTCCATATTAACATATGTGCATATGAGAGTGCATATGAACTTTGAGAGTTTTAAGTGCAATCCCACTTATCCAAACATATACATAAAAAGAGAGTTTGTGTGATAACGTGGCCTTGGCTTATATTAAGAGAATGAACACTTACCTTGTGAAAATGGCATCCACAATCCCAATCGTTGCCTCCTCTGCAGGAACGTAGGAACCGATCTGAGCCATGATGGCAACCAGCGCAACCTGTTTTATGTAGGAGCTCTTCCCACCCATGTTTGGTCCAGTGATTATCATTACCCTTTCAGAGTCTTCCTGGAAACAAACAAACAAATGGAATTTCACTTAGTGCACCAGAAGGGATTGGAGCGGTTGCTCTTTATGTTGGGAGTGCGGATTGAGATAGGGTCTTACTATATAACCCAGGCTGGCCTTCAGCTCACTGTGTAGACCAGGCTGGCCTCATATTTCAACCTCCTGCCTCCACTTGCCAAGAACTGGAATAAAAGTATCCACTACCATGATTGGTTCAGATGGGTTTTCTTCTCTTTTGTTTTTTATGTTATTTTTATTTCCATGTGGTATCTATGATTCAGCCCACAAAAGGGACTTCATTAGGCAGAGTACTGCTCTACACCATATTATATATCACTGAATCAATCCATTTTCCATTCCTATAACAAAAAGCCTAGGGCTGTGTAATTTGTTGGAGAAAGAGTTTCATTAAGGTCAGAGTTCTAGATATTCAAGAGCATAGTGTTGACTCATTCTCACGCCTGGTTAAGGTTTTCACAGTGACCAACATCTAAATGGTGGGAGTACGTGCCAGAGGTATTCACTTTGCAGACAGAAAGTGAGAGGCTGGCAGAAGCTAGTTTCACACTTTTTTATAAAGGCCCATCCACATGAGAAACGACCCATTCCACAAGACCAGAACCAATCCTTTCTGAGAGCAGTACCACCCACGACTTAACTATCTTCCGCTTGGCTCCACCTCATTAGGGGAGGGGTGATGACAAAAGATACACAGATGGTCACCATGAATAAAAGGTAACCTGTTTCAATAAGTAAAATGATAGCATAAAGAGATACCACCACTTCACATGTACAGGATAACAACATCAGGAAAAAAAGAAAGAAAAAGAAAGAAAGGAAGGAAGGAAGGAAGGAAGGAAGGAAGGAAGGAAGGAAGGGAAGAAAGCCTGCCTGCCATGGCTGTCAGTGCCAAGTTTTGGCAAAGATGAGAGAGGGGCTGGAATTTTTTTTCTGCTGCAGGAGAAAAACACTACACACTATTTTGAAAAGCTGCAGTAATACCTGCTAAAGCTGAAAATAGATATAGCCAAACAATTCTGCTCCCATGTACATGCTAAATGGAAATAAGCATGGAAAACACATGACATGGAAAACAAAAGACATGGAAAAGGCTTGGCAGCAGTGCCTCTCAGGATAGTCTGAAATGCAGCATCTCACATTTCCTCACCCTGGAACACATGAAGTATCAGACAAGAACATGTGCAGAGGTGGGAGAAAGCCAACAGTGAGGATGGAGGTTTCTGTTCTGCCAGGTCCCGCTGCCCTTCAGCCCCAGATAAACACACAGAGACATATTAATTATAAAACTGTTGGCCAATGGCTTGGGCTTCTTACTGGTTAACTCTCTCTTAATTATTATCCCATTTCTATTAATCTATGCATTGCCACAAGGCTGTGGCTCACCCATAATCTGGCACAACAGTGCAAAAGGAAGCCCGGTAGCCAAGGGCGGGGCTAGTGAGCCAACAAAGGCGTAGATGTCCTTAAACAATGGCAGGAAAATGGTTAGCTGTATGAAAATGAGTAAGGTTCCAAATCTCATTCTAGGTGAATGAAAGAATAAACAGTGAAAAGCAAAACCCATTACTTTAAAAAAGAAAGCATAGGAGAAAAGGTGGAGAATTAGTTACTTGTGGAAACATAAAACAGTTCTGCCCCGGTCAAACATAAATGTTTATGATGTGCACCAAAACATAAGCAAAAGACTGTTCGCAGCTGCCTCAAACTGAAAACTGCTCAAATGTTTATCAACAGATAAACTATGATACAGCTGCACAGAAACAGCTATGACAAGAAAGAACACAAAGATATAAATTGTCAAAGGGAAGCTGTTAAGTCACCAAACAAAACATGAAAAAGCAGCCGTATTATATAACTCCTACCTCTTAACAACACTGAAGTAGTGGGGATAGGCAAAGAATATAAACAGGCTATTTGTAGCCAAAGAAACACACAAGATCTAAAAGCATATTAGCAGGAAAGTGTAATCAGAAGCATTGTACAGGAGCAAAACAAGCTATTCCTAACATTTATGTGAAAGAATGTCTGGTAAATAGCCAAGGAAAATGAAATCTGCACATCGCAGACAGCTGAACTCCTATGGTTTTTGTAGAAAGCTTCACAATGGTCAAGAAATGGAAACAACCCATCAATATCAGAGGGCTTATCAACAGACAAAAGGCAAAGGAATAATATTCCACTATATGATAATAATACTATGATACCTACACACAACAGAATATTATTCAGTCATAAAACATGATAAATTCTCTTATTTGTGGCCAAGTGGATGAAACTAAAGGTCACTATGCTAATTTGATCGGGTACACGATCAAATTCATACGTAAAATATGAAAATCTTGATCTCATTCAGGAGGGGATGGACCAGAAGCTGTGGAAGCAGAGGGATGGGGAGAAGTTATCAGTGCGCCCTAAGCTACAGTTATACTGGCGTGAGACACCTGGTGCTGTTACACAGCAGGTTGAGGATGCACTGCCTTCCAAGAAGCTAGAAAGATCTAGATGCACATAACCATGTGAAGTATCTGTTTTTCTAGTAATACTAGCATCTATTTCTGTATTTAATTGTTTGTGTACCCGGGAACAATTTGATAATTGCAAAGTCAAAGACAGCCATTAATGAGGACTGGTGTGTGCAAGCTTATTGCCAACCAGCTTCTAACTGGCCTTTCTGACCTCCATGCTTATTTCCCCATCAAACACCAGCATTGACTATTTAATATGACACCACAGCATGATTAAAAATTATCCTAAGACTTTTTGAAAATGTAGGGAATTGTCTGTGTTATTAAATTAAGAATACAGACTATAAAATACAGGCGCAGTTATGTTTTTAAAATGTAAATAAAGCTGGGCAGTGGTGGCGCACGCCTTTAGTCCCAGCACTCAGGAGGTAGAGGCAGGCAGATCTCTGAGTTCAAGGTCAGCCTAGTCCACAGAGAGAGTTCCAGGACAGGCAGGCCTACACAGAGAAACCTTGCATTTAAAAAAAAAAAAAAAAAAAAAAAAAAAAAGTGTAGTGGGATATTCACTTTGTCTCCTTCTGTGGCACTGACCACGCCCACTAGGGGGTGGAGCCAGGGGCGGAAGTGACCTGTGGAAGGAGGTCTGAGGAGGAGCCAGGAGCCGGAGAATGCTTGCTTGCTGGTGGACAGGGAGAGGAGAGCATCCAGTGTTCATCTGTCTAGGTTGTAAGTTATTTCTCCCTGAATAAACATCTATTCGATCTATTTGTTTATCCTGATTCTTATTTAACTGCAATAACAAGGTAAATAAAAGGTCAAGGGGGGTCTGTTAAAATGCCAACAGCATTTTCCTCCCCTTTCTCACTTTCTTCACACCACAAACCTCGGTCCATAACTGTCTCATAGCTGGGATCTACAGCAAGTCAGCACTGATACCCATTTAGTGAGTACATATTATGCTGAGGACCATGTCTCCCCCTCTCCCCCCGGCCCCAATGGAGCTCTCTATGAGAACCTTGACATAGAACAAAACTCACAGAATGGGAAGGTAAATGAATAAAGATGGCCAGGAACATCTGTGTTCAGGCTCCCTCCCCAGGCATCTTTTTACCCACACAGCAGGTGCAAAGGAGTTCCCAGCCTCCCTCTCCAGGGTGTGTGCAGGGAAGTCTCTGAATACAGGGTAGTACCCCTCTCTGGTACCACATCTATGTTTTGTGACTGAATTTAGGCTGAGAGACGTTTTAATTTACTTTCTTTAAGAGGAAGGAACCAAGGACTAGAGAACCACATCAGGTTGCCCAAACTCTGTAGGTACCACCTTTCCTGGTATGTGGGTCCATTCTTTTCATATTTATTTATTCCTTTTTATAGTTTTTTAAATTTATTTTTGTGTATAAGCATTTGTCTGCTGTGTGTGTGCACCATGTGCATGCCTGGATTAAAGCTGTCAGAAGAAAGGGTGGGCCCCCAGAACAGGAGTTACAAATGTGGGTACTGGGAATCGAACCTGGATCCTCTGCAAGAGCAACAAGTGCTCTTAACTGCTGAGCCATCTCTCCAGTCCCAAATGGCACTTTCTTAACCAACTCTAAAAGACCTCCAACAAGAGATAATAAGCATAAACAGGAGACACAGTGAAAAAATCATCAGGCACTGAAACACATAAACACTCCCTATGTCCACCTCTGTTGTCCCCACTCTGTAGGCAACTGCAGTGGCTTCTGACTGGGTGCTATCGTGGCTAAAGGGAAAATGAGCCCTCTCAGGCTCTTTCTGAAGGGCACTAATCCTATTCAGGAGGTTTCCACTCAAATCAACTCCAATGATTAGAAACATGCGTCAACACTATCACCTTGGTACTCAGGATTTCCATGTGTGACTTTGGAGGGGACACACACATGCCGACCATGCAGTGGGTCTTCCCAGAGGCCTGAGCTAATCATGGCAGCTCCTTTGCCCACTGCTGCTTGAGTAGCTGACTGCACACGGTTTAGTTGCAGCAAGTATTCCAGTCCCTTCCATGCCTAACTTTCTTACCTAATCCACACTTGTACCAGGGTCCTTTGGTGTCGGAAGACTTGATGTTGGCTCATTCCTGCCTCACGGCCTTGCCACAGGCCTGAGCAGGAAAGACCTCCCAGGGCCAGGCTGTGTGCTGAGCCCTTCTGCCTGTCCCTCTCTGTCGCATTCACCCACCCCATTTTCACTGAAATTTCCTCCCTGAAATGACCCTACCTTGCTTGTTATTACTCTCTCGCTGCTAGAAAGTTCCCATGATAGATGAGTTTGATAGTTAAATATGCTTCAAAGGAGAAGTCTACCACATTTACATTTTAAAAGCAGTGTCTGCATTACCTATAAAAATTAGGAAGACATGAGTCCTTTTCTCCATCCCAAGATGACAAAGTAGGGAAGGTAATGGCCAAGGACTTCACTGCCCATTTAATGTGCTCATCTATCTTCTGGCTAGGATAGGTATCTGAGGTTCCACACATCAAAGGCTTCCAGATA